TAAATGTTCAACTCATATGCCTGTCTTTTGTTTGGCTGGAAGCCACAGGGGTGGGTTCAATTCCAGACCTGAAGGGCAGCTAGGGGCCATAGTCTCGGTGGTTCCACCAGGCTCTATCAGACCAGCAAACCTGGTCCCTTTTTCTTTTTTCCCAAATGATTTACAGTTTTGTTCCACATTGTTCTCCCTCTTTATCTAGGATCTCCTACATAGATCCCCCTCTGAGTGGTTGACAGTGGTACCGGGCACCATCTAGTTCTTCTGGTCTCATAGTCGAATAGGCTGAGGATCGCATGGTGTACCAGTTGCTTGGACTAATTGTTTCCATGAATATTTGGTTTTCTTTCCACAGCATTTTCTTGGTTATAATTTGTATAGAAGCAGATTGCCAGGCCTTCTGTCACAGTGCCCCTGGGTGGGCAGAAACTGCTAACCTTTTGGTTAGTAGCCAAATGTAAATTGCACGCACTACTCAGGGACCTTACTAAGGTCAGAAGGGCCCAATTAAAGACTGGTAGTGTGTAACAATGGTGGCCCGGGGGCATCTAACCTCCTCTAACTTCAGGAGGATGGAGGATCACTATCAGCAGCATCAGCCCAAGGGTTATTCCTATGAGGTGGAGCTCAGCCATGACTCCTCTCCCCAGCTTTTTTTTTTTTTTTTTACCAATTCTGACACCTACCCTCCCTCCCAAGGCGTTCTCTACTTCTCTGCTGGGTTCAATAATTTGTTGGAATGGCCACATAGAACTCACAGACCATACTCATGATTATGGATTTATTAGAGAACCAACAGATTACAATACAGGGTCAGTAAAGACTTAGAATACAGTTCTTCAGTCAGGACAGCCTCTTCTCAGCTGTGCCCACAGGCAGGCCTCTCCCTGGCCCTCAGCATCTGCTATGCTGCCCTGATTGGGTGTGTTACAAAACTCTTTAGTTCCACAGGTAGGTGTCCAGAGGCACCTCTACTCTGTCAATAAACCTCCTGCCCAAAGGCACTCAGCTATCTCACTCCATGGGTTGGCAAGTTTAAGCTTTGCCAACAAGTGGCTGGAGGAACCCCCTCTGCCAGCAAGCTTCCTGTCTGAAGGTGCTCAGTCTTCTTGCTCTGTGGGTCGATGAGTCTAGCCCTGCCAAGTGTTCAGAGGCACTTGACTTAGCCCAAAGTTGCTCAGTGCTCTCACTCTGTGGGCTGGGAAGCCCACTGTGCTGTCTTCTGGTTCTGCTGCCTGCCTCTGCTGCCACCACTTCTCAGCATCTCTGCTGTTACAGCTCTCTGTCTCCTGAGTCTAGGAGGCTCTCAGTGCAGGGACCCCAGGTCCAAAGGAAGCACTTTGTTTTTGTCTCTTCTTG